TCTCTTTATGAATCCTGTTAATTGGACACTAGATGTCTACAATGATCTCATTGTACATTTTAACTGATACAATTAGCATACAACATTCTACAATACTCTGAGTGTCTAAAGAAGCCTATAAATGTACTAATAATGTAAACTCTTACACAAAAGGATTTAATTACTAATTCTACAAATTATACAGAATCAAAGTTACAATTTCAAATGCCTAACAGTCAGCCAGATAATTTAAGTAAAGGAGGCAGAATAGATGAGAAATGGCAACTAATAATCTGTTCGATGACAGGGACAGGTCAGGCATTACACAACTCCAGCTGATTTTTGGCACAAAAGGATGTGAGCCAAGTATTGGCAGAACTTCCAACTTAACAAAAGAAGCTAGAAATACAGCTTTTTATGGTGAAGTCTCTTGATTTTTAAATATAGGTGATAAATTCCAATTTTAAATACTGTGTAAACCCACACTATGTTAGGCCAAACAAAGGATACCAATGGGCTGGAACAGCCCAAAAGTTTCCAGTTTCTGTGCTCTGGTATACAAGATAATACAGTAGATCAGCTTTGGACTCTGACAGACCTACATTCAGCCTTCAGTCACACTACTTACCAGCTATGGCACTTGGGGAAGGTAACTTCTTTTACACTGTCTATAAAATCAGAATATATTTACTAAAGAGATTTCATAAGATAACACATGTAAACTGCTTACACAACAGTTATAAATGTAAATAAATACTCAATAAGTATTACCTATTATTAAAATACCAAAAAATGGATTGGTGGAGATAATATAAACACTGTCCTAACCATCAAGGCTCCCTATCTGTAAGGAAATAAGACTAACAAAAGAAGTGGAAGGCAGTCATTGTACAGCATTGTGAAGGTAACGTTACTGAATTGTACACTTTTGAATGGTTAATTTTCTGTTATGTGAACTTCACCTCAATAAAGAAAAAAGTGAGAAACAGGGAGGCAATATGAAGGAAGGAGTCAGAAAATGTTAGAAAGGGAGGCTGGAACAGATATCTTTTCTTCTAAATTATTTTGGAGTTTGCCTCTAAATCTCTCTTGAACTCCTTTTTAAAGGCAATAGCCAATAATAACAATGTTAAGGCAACAAACACTTCCCATGTACTGAAAATCAACATACAATTAAGGTTGACTGAGAGACTAACATATAATTAAAAGAATATTTTCAAAGTTTCTTCAGGAAGAAAATATATATAATAGCACAAAAGGAAGTTGGGCTCTTGAATCTGTAAGATAGCTGTTTATATATGGATTAAAAAGCTCACAGTAAACAAGACAATAGATAAATCTTTCTTAAAAAATCACTATCCTGCGCCTTGGGAGGCTGAAGTGAGTGAATTGCCTGTGCCTGTGGGTTCGAGAACCGCCTGGGCAACTTGGCGAGGCCTCATCTCTACAATAAATCAAAAAATTAGCTGGGTGTGGTAGCGCGTGCCTGTAGTTCCAGCTACTTGGAAGGCTGAGGCGGAAGGATCGCCGGAGCCCAGCAGGTCGAGGCTGCGGTGGCCGGGAGCAGCCACTGCACTCCAGTCTGGGCGACAGAGTTAGACTCCAACTCAAAAAAAATCACTAAACACCACAAGACTGTGCTCTTAAGCATTTTCTTATAATACATGTAGAAATCTTCTCACCAAAAATTTCCCAGTAAATGAAGAGGAAGTTAATTATTTCCTATAGATTCAGATGAGGGGAAAATATTTTTATATGCATCTTTTCCATATTCAACTTTTCCCAAATTGTGCTCCATGAAACAATGTTTAAAGAGATGTTACTTAATGTAATACAAACGAAAAAGGCAGGAAAGGGAAAAAAAAAAGAAAAAGAAAAGTGGCATATTAGAATCTCACTCTTGAGAAATTTACAATGCATAGTAGCATATTTACGGTTCTGCAGCAAAAAAGATAGTTCACCTCTGTTTCACCTACATTTTCATGATTTATTAGGGACAAAACAGTTTTTAGGTTATGTCTCTTAAACACAAGAACTATTAATTTCTTAAAGACTGATTAGATTTAAATCAGATAACATAAATTAGGTAACTTTGGTATTAGCCTGAGGGTTAAGATTAAAATACATACCACAATCAATTATCTGAATAAAACATTGTTTCATATTACCAGTATGTCCAAGCAAAAGCTTAGCATCAAGAAAGGAGGAGGAAAAAGGTAGTTGTAAGGAAAAAAAAAGTTTGGGAAAAGTTAGCTCTTTAACTTCCTTCTATGAATGCCCCTGTCCTGCCCTGTCAATTTTGATTGCTTATTACGCAAAACATTTGCAGTTAAGATAGCAAAAATTTTCAGCTTGGTTCATTTTTTTCACACTCCCTTTATATTCCTAATTCTAGGAGATAACCTCAAACCTCAAAAGAAGATGTTAAATATTTGTCTCAAAAATATCGATTATCTCAAGTATAACATTTCACATTGCCCTAACAAACCACAATCCTAAAACAGTTAAATAATATGGACAATTTAAGCATGAAGGTGTTTGCAATTTGAGTTTATTTTACTCAATAATGTAGTACAACAAAACAAAGTCTGAATTTTGCACAGTACTTCCTGTCAGGGGGGGAAAAAAAAATCACTGGAAAATATGGAATTAGAGATAAAAGGGTAATTTCAAATACTCTTTGGGCATCCTAATAGAGAAGGCAAAGAAAAACCCAAGTGAAAATACTTTTGTTAACAGAAAAGTAGAAGTATATGAAAATTTTTTACAAGTTTTTTTCACTGACATATTATCACCTTTGAGCCAAAAAAGGAATCGCTACTGATTATTACTACTGCCCCCAACATAATGTGAACCAATCAAGGAAATTAATCATTTAGGTACTGGGCACAGCCATTCCCTTAGAAAGCAAAATTCCTTCGAAATGGTTGAGTTTTATTTCAGCTGATAGGAAAACCTGCATCCTCCTTCCTGGTCACTGTTCGTCCACTGTCTTATAAAAGAAGGGAAGAAGGCTAGGCAATGGAAGCTATCAAAGCCTTACTGGCCATTTATACCCCAATCAAAAAAGGAACCGGACAAAAGAAACCAAAATGAGAGCACAGCTATTATCTTCTGCTGATAATTCTTCATATTGATATGCTATTAATTACCTAATAGGTGTCAAGATTGGTTGGCTAAAAGAATCTGTGGCCAGGTAACAATTCAGACACATAAAACATTTTCTTAGAAACAGCAGATTTAAAAAGGACATAAGACTAGATGAAACAAACTAGACAGAATTAATGTCAACCTTGATTATTGACTACAAACTCCATGTGTGAATCATTTAATTCAGATGCATAAGGGTAAGAGTTATGAATCAGAAGATGAGGGATCAAAATGTTTCCCAGCATAGTATTTTCTTGGTGAAGTTATTACAATCTAAGGTCTGATGATCAGTTGTACAGGCCCAGAAGCTGGACTTTATCAGTAACCTTAAAAATGACAAATCAACCTCAATGACTAATTCACACTCAGAAGAAACCAATGTAAAAACTAGCACACCAGATTAACTTACCACGAGGGTATCCTTACAGTAATCAGAAAACCCGCCCGCTCTATCTAGTGTGCTCATACTCTTTCAGTATGAGTACTAATCTGGCTGGGTTGGATTAGAACTTAGCTGAATACGGATTTATAGTAATGTGAAGTAGGTCATCTGAGATCTTTTTAATCGGGCCACAGAGAGATCCGATAAACTCTTCTACACCACAGCAGAGAATACATGTTTGTGTACTACACTGCGTGTTTCCCATATTCTCTATCAGCTCACTGTATTTTCTGTAGATGTCATATCATAACAAGCTATCGGCCTGCAACATTAAGCATCCTTCTACTGTGTTCTGCCTAACTATGAGAAGGCAAATTCATTTCCGTATCTTCAAGTTCTTAAACTGTAACTCAGGCACCACTAGATACTACCTATAATTTTAACAGAAACTACAAAAAAAAGTGGGGTTGTAGTTCTTACAGAATTAAAATTTAATTTTGAACACAATCTACATACTACAAAACTCCAAATAAACATAACTTAATACTGCAAAAACGTAATATACTGTGATTCAAAGCAAGTTGCCAAAAGTTAATAACCACTTAGCAAAACAATTTATGACTAGCTCATAAAATAACGCAGATAGTCTATATTCACAACTACTAAAAACGACTTCTACATCTGCATAATGCTTTACAAGTTATGAATTATTTTCCCATCCACTGTAACATTTAATTTTCATAAGCACCAAATGTTTAAATTCAAAGTCTCCAAGAAAAATACTTATGAAAGAATGTAAAAGAAATCATCTGGAATTTATTTTTTGTTTGTTTGTTTGTTTAAGAGATGAGGTCTTGCTATGTTGTCCAGGCTGATCTCGAACTCCTGAGCTCAAGGCAAATAATCCTCCCACCTCAGTTTCCCAAGTAGCTGTGACTACAGGTATAGGCTACAATGCCTGGCTCAGAGATTTAACTTTTTAGAGTCGTTAAAGTTCCTACTGACAATGTACAGTTAATGTATTCATATATATTTTTAATTCCTTCTCTTATAAAATATGCCATGTAGTCATAGGTCATAAGTATACTTAAAAATGTAATATTTAAGTGGGCCTTGAGAACTACAATGTTCTAAACTGAATGATAATTATACTCAGGAAATTCTGCCAAATTATAAAACAGAATAATTTAGACTTTGGTTCACCCTGCAATTCCTTTCTGTATCCCTTGTATCAAGTAATTCTTCAGATACTTTGCACCCCATTAAAAATTGTACTACATAAAAATACATTGTATTAATCATCTAGGTTTATTAAACAAACAAACAAAAACAAAAAACAGAGTACAGAGTACCATGATGTTAATAATAAAAGTTTACATTACAAAGTATGTCTTTTTCTTTGGTTTAGAAATCTTTTCTAAGGAAAACATAACATGAATATAAGCATCAATATTTGAAAGAGAAAATAGAAAATCAAAAGTGTTCTTACCTTACTACATCATCAATATTGTTCCTGTATACGCCTTCAAGTCTTTCTGCAGGAAATCCCATAGCAATAATGTTTGGATAAATATCTGAGTGCTTAAGTTAAGGAAATATCTAAAATATGCAACAATGTAAACTAAATGCACACATTTTAAAACATTAGCCAATTATAAAACGAAAGCTTTATCCCATTATAGGTATTATAATAAAAGGCTATCCATGTATTTATCTATAACCAATTATGTGTAATTAAGAAACACTAGTAAATGTATCAATTCTTAAAAAAGACCCTCAAAACAATTATGGCAAAATAATTTTCAAACCCCTCTATTTAGCAATTACAAATGCACCTCAGGTAAAAAGCATAGATATATAACATTTTATATATACACACATACACACACACATCTAAATAATATAAATATATAAATGCCACATTTACAGTATTTAGGTATATGAGAACAAACAAAAACCTTGGACTTTACAAATCACAAAACTAAAGTATTTGGGGACAAAAACAAAAATATCAAAACCTACCTTAAAAAACAGTTCAACTTCTAGTTTTTCATGGCTAAAAAAGGCACTACATTGTAGAAAAAAGTAGATATAATGAACATCTCGAAGTCAAATTTAAAAGCTAGTTATGCCTCTAAGTAGTTGTAGAATTTGGACAAGTCACTAAACCATTCTAGACCTCAATCTCCTATTCTACATGATGATAAGGTTCAAAGAGATAAACACTAGGGTCTCTTCTAGCCCTTGCTATCTATGACTTGGTAATACTGGACTGAGGTAGAAACTTTATTATTATTATTCTTATTATTACTTCCAATCAATGCACAGGTGGCCCTCGGGTTGCAATGGTGCAGGCACACTTCTACATGGGCCTCTTCCACTTCTGCCACCCTTGAGACAGCAAGACCAACAATCCCTGCTCTACCTCCTCCCCCCTCAGCCTACTCAAAGTGAAATGATTAGGATAAAGACCTTCATGATGATCCCCTTCCACTTAATAAATGTTTTCTCTTCCTTATGATTTTCATAGTAACTTTTGCCTCTAGAACAGTGTAAAAATACACTATATGAGACATACACAAAATATGTTAAAGCAACTTTGTGTTAACAGTAAGGCTTCTAGCCAACAGTAGGTTATTAGAAGTCTTTAGGGAGTCAAAAGTTATTTGTGAATTTTCAGCTACACAGGGGTCAGTGCCCCTAACCCTTATGTTGTTGTTCAGGGGAACTGTCATGAATATTTAGCATGCCTATTACGCGCAATTATGTTACAGAGTATGGCTGGCATAAAAACACACCTCTACACTCAAAAAGCATTTATTATATTATATTCATTTAGTATATTCAACTACAAAAATCATCAACAACCTATATTGTTAGGATTCTTGCCTACCCATCATACCAGCTCTCATGTTTTTCTTGAACTCCATCAATCCTCTCTAACCTCAGGATTTTCTGGCACAGACCTTTCACTCCAGCACAGCTAATTTGCCTAAAGCCTTCTTTTAAGACCAAATCCAATGATGTCTGCCCATCCACTTCTGGATCCATTTATCTTCCAAATACAATTCAAAACTCCTCTAAGGCAATGCCCTTTTCTAGGTCTTTTTTTTTTTTTTTCCCCAGCAGCCTTCACATTATTCACTTGTTTTCAATAATACTTTCAACCCAAAAATAATTACCAAATTACTGAAGGTTTTTGTTTTAATACTATAATTTAAGAAAAGGTTAATATGTGCACAACATGTTCTTTCTATGAGATAATTATAATCTGACTGGAGAGATCTATACCATATACCTACAGGATGTATCTTTTGTACAGCGATGGGAGGAATAATATTTACACATGTATTTGCTTTACTGTGAACACTTAACATGCACACGCATGAACGAGTGATAAATGAGAAACTAATAAAAATGGTTGCTTCATAGAGAAAAGGGAAAGGAAGAAGAAGCATAGCAGAAACATGTGGAAACAAGACTCTTGTGTATATCTTTATATAGTTTTGACCTTTGAATTACACATAAGAAAAAAAGACTTTAAAAAAAAAATCTCATACATTGAACACAGCTAAAAAAAAAATAAACCTGATTAAATATCAAGTTGGCAACCAGGAAAAAGGTTTTATTTTAAGGCTATTGGGACACTGCAAATAGCAAACTTCTTTTGATGGCTTTACTGTTTTTAGTCATATTATTATTGATATCCCCAATTATTTTCTTTGTATTATAGAAATAAACAATAAAGTTATGCTGATTTTAGGATTCATGATTGTAAGTGTAAGAAAACAGAGATAACATTGTAAAATCAAGAAATCACCTAAAAATTAAAATATCAATTTCAATAATTCATGTTTATAAAAATCTAAGTTTTCTAGGTCTTTTCACTGACATGGCTTACAAACAACGTCACCCTAGGAATAGTAAACATTCCTAGAACCCAGATTTTCATCTCTAATACCATAATATACTTTAAAAAAACCACATTCCTGGAAATAAAAGAGTTCATGCCAGGTCCGGGGGCAGAGAAGACACAGGTGAGCCTGGGATATCTTTCTGTGCCAACAGAGCAAGGAACGCTTACAGAGATTAACAGTCTATATATCAAATATACAGAGTTAGCATAAAGGTCTCAATAATTAGCTGTAATAATCTAAACAAAGAAAACATTTAGATATTAGTAAATTAAAACAACCTTATGAATAAAGCAAAAATCCCTAAGTCTATAAAGATACTCAAGATAAAAAAAGTTAAAACAACAACAAAACCCTCTTCATGTAATACCTCCTGAGGTAGCTAATGGAACAGTTCTTCACTTTGAAAAGTGGTAAAGGAAGAGTATTTATCTTGCTCTTCCTGTAGAAACTATATTTAAAGGTAATCAAATAGCCTCACTTCATAAGCTCTACCTTACAGAAAAACATCAGTTGATAAATGCAAAAGGACAGAATTAGAAAAGTCATGTTTTTGTAAATCCTAATGAAATTATTGATATATGCAAAGATTAACAAATGGTGCTAAACCAACAGGTGAGTGGTTGATGAGATGCTGAATTTTCTTACAGAACTAAAACAATGCCACACAAAATACTTTCTAATGTAAGGTGATAAATATAATTCAACAATGGTCAAAAAAGACTGTCACTGCCCAATGTCAGTGGCCAATTTCTGTATCATCAAGAGTCAAGTAGGAATCATGTAACTTCTGATATGCAATATAAAGGATACAGCATCACCTATGACAGCCAAGTATCTTCAATTTAAATCCACAGACCCTTTAGATGTACATTTAAATTTGCAAGAAATACATAGGATAGAAGAAGTCAATTACATCAGGACAGAGTAAATTGAACAAATTTAAAAGGTCTGTAGGACATGACCTAGTCTCCAACAAGTTAGTAACTTTTTTTTTTAAATGGGGAAGATGAGGGCTGCCCTTGATTTTTAAAGACTTAATAAGGTTTCTAACAATCAATATCATGAATATAATGCTGGGCTGGATACTGTTTTAGACAAACCAGCCATAAGGGACAACTGTGAGGCAACTAGAAAAATTTTAATGTGATATGCCTAGTGCATGAGATGAAAACTTAACAAAATGAAAAAGTACATATAAATAACTTTAAAAGGTAGATTTCAAAATAGAATGTACAGTATAATGCCATTTTGAAAAAACAATACATATCTATACATATGTAAAAAAAGAGATTACAAACTAAGGTACTAAAAGTAATAATCCACAGGTGTTAGGGATGCACATTTTCCTCATTTTTGTTTGTTTCATATTTTCTATTTTTGCTACAATGTACCTGCACTGTTTCTATAACAAATTTCTTAAACTATGTGATTTATAATTATCTCTGAGTCTGTTTACTAAGTATCATGATAAAACATTGTCTTGCCCTGTATGACTTAAATAAGCCCTGAATGTAGTTTATTTAAAATGCTTAAGTTTTTACCATAAATACTGTACTAATAAAAGCATCTAACATTTAAGTAATATTTATTATGTGCTGGTAGTAATTTTTGTTACTTCAAAAACACATAAATTCACTCCCAACCTCAAAGGGTTATTATAAAGACTCCAAAAGAAAACTATTAGGATTATCATTTTAGCATCAAAAATATTAGTTGTCATCTTATTATTCTCACATAAGAAAGTAGTCCCAACTCTTAGCCAACCTCTGGCATAGGAAAAATTAAAAAATAAAAAATAAAACAGCCTCACCTAAAAATGGAGCTCTTGTGCAATTATCGAAATGTTTTGGCATATTATGTATGTTCAATAAAAAAAAAAAGAGAGAGCAAGAAAAAGAGAGCAGAGACACAATCAATCCTAAAGCAATAAATCTTGAAACTGAACTGTCTTTACTTTTAAACTCTGCCTTAGAGGACAAACGTAAGAAAATGGAACATGTCAGGAAAAAAATGAAGCACTGAAAGCAACAGTAGGGAACCCAAAGCATTCTCTGCTAACCATCACTCCGAAATTCCCATCTAAAAAGTTACAAATACATTTTGGTCAAACACATATATTAAAATTATCTACATTTTTGAACAATGAAACAAAGAATTATATTTATTAAAAGCTAGAATTATTATCACTAACAAACTGACCAAACCTAAACCATTAAATTCAGTGAGAAAGTCAATAAGATTTTCCCTTCATAGAAAAGCACAGAAATACAAAGTCCCTTGAAATGTGGTCATTCTAACCAGAACTAAACTCAAAATTCATCGTTGAAATATGCTAATAAAGCAAGTGTCTTAGTCCATTTTCTGCTGCTACAGAATACCACAGACTGAATAATTTATAAAGAACAGAAGTTTATTTATTTGGCTCATAGTTCTAGAAGGTGGGAGGTCCAAGATCAAGGAGCCACATCTGGTGGAACGTATCACATGGCAAGAGATGGCATGAGCATCTGAGACAGAAAAAGGGGGCCAAACTCTAGAGATAACCCCATTCCTGGAAGAATGGCATTAATCCATTAATGAGAACAGAGCCCTTATGACCTAACCACCTCTTCAAGGTCACCTCTTAATATGAAGACATGGCAATTAAATTTCAAAAT